GAGCCTGGCAGCAGCCCGAAAGACGGACAGCCACGTGAACACCCCAATGTCGCGGTGCCCTTTGCTGTCGCTGGGTGATGTTTGTCGAGGGCTTTGTACCCGCTCCCCGCACCGGGTTGTTCTGTTGGGGTCTGGCGCAGGAAACAGCCTCACTCCTCAGCCATGATGAAGGGCAGGGCAGGCTAATCGCCTACCTGTCTGGTTCCCGGAGTCAGAGATTCCAACGCCAGAAGGGCCCCCCTGCGTGACACCGGCCAGAGACGGTCACGGAATAGCTCCTAGAGCTGAGCTCTCAGACAACTTTGATTTAAAACGGTCCGAAGCAGAGGATTGGGGGGGGCTGCAGCACCCCCAGGTTTGGGCAATCAGCCACATGCCCCCATCGTCCAGGGATCCAGCTGCCGACCCCACTGTCCCCATGTAAAGGGTCTTGGCTGCTGGCCCTGGGTCCCGCTCGGCTGCTGGCCCTACCACCAAGCCCCACATGCAGGTCTGGCCCAGCCAGTGGGCTGGGGTCCTGGTTGCCAGCCCTACATGCAGGCTGCTGGCTGCCAGTCCCAGCTCCACAGGGCAGTGATGGGTGCAGACGGGTGGGAGGGGTGCAGCGGGAGGGGCAGACACTGGGGATGGGTCCGTATGAGACACTGGCGGTCAGGTCCTGGAAGGCTGTCGCCATCGAAGGAGGGGCCAGGTCGCACGGGAGGCTGAGCCCTGGGCTGGGTTCTCTTCGGAGCAAGTCACAGCCCTGCCTCAGTTTCCCCCCTGCGGCAAAGTGGCGATGCCACTGTTGGCCTTGGACCTCTGTGGATGCCACCGCCAGCTGGCCGGCCAGAGGGAAAAGCAGGCATGTTGGCAGTGACACGTGGGTGGGAGCTTATCCCAAGAAGCTTCTTGTCCACAGAGAGTTAAACCCACCTGTTAAACCAGAGACTGACTCTGTCGAGCTGCCTTCCCTTCAGATCCGATCTTCAGTGCTTGGCATGATGCACTGACACCTGATCGTCCACAATGGTGATGTGAATGAGGGGGGTGTAATACCAGGCCACAATCCCCTCCTGCAACCTGCACCCCAAGCCCCTGCTCCACATAGTAACCCCCTTCATTCAAACTCCCTCTCAGACCCCACAGCCCCTCCTGCACCCCATTTCCCCTATCCCAAGCTCTCTTCTGCACCCCACTCGCCGTCCCAGACCCCTCCAGAGAAGTGCAGCCCCTGACCACTTAACAAAATCTTGGTGTGGCCCCCCCATTAAAAATTATTGCCCATCCCCTGCTCTAGGCACTGGAGGGGGGGCCAAAGACTCCACACACTTCCCCCACCCCCAGGCCAAACAGAATCTGTAAACAGGGGAGCACAGAAAACCTCCTGGCTCCGCCCCTATCGCTCAAGGCTCCGCCTCTTTCGGGGCAGCCCACGACCACTTCAGAAATTTGTGAAGTGGTTCCCCCTCGCTTCAAAAATTACTGCCCACCCCTGCCCTAACAGTTTTTAACCAACATTGGAACATTTCAAATTAGGGGCGTTCAATTAGCTTTTTGAAATTCAGGGAGAATGGGAACTCGAGTCCACAACGTGTTTTTTCTGAATTTCTCTTGCTGCGTTTCAAGCCGTTCTACTGACTTACAATGAGCAGCCCTGTGCAAACAGGCCCACAGCTTTCAGTGGGACCACCTGTGGAGTAAGGCAGGGAGGGGGTGTGACAGACACCGAAGCTTAATATCATTTTGAGGCTTACATGGAGGTCAGGTGAGCCAATCTGCTCTAATTTTGAACCCTTTCAAAACATTATGGCTACGTCTCGACTGGCATGATTTTCTGGAAATGCTTTTAACGGAAAAGTTTTTCCGTTAAAAGCATTTGCGGAAAAAAGCGTCTAGATTGGCACGGACGCTTTTCCGCAAAAGCACTTTTTGTGGAAAAGCGTCCGTGCCAATTTAGACACGGTTTTGCGCAAGAAAGCCCCGATCGCCATTTTCGCGATCGGGGCTTTTTTGCGCAAAACAATATCGCATTGTTTACACAGGCCCTCTTGCACAAAAGCATTTGCACAAGAGGGCTTTTGCCCGAACGGGAGCAGCATAGCATTTCCGCAAGAACACTGCCAATCTTATATGAGATCATCAGTGTTCTTGCGGAAATTCAAGCGGCCAGTGTAGACAGCTGGCAAGTTTCTCCACAAAAGCAGCTGGAAAAAATCTTGCCAGTCTAGACGCAGCCTATTGGTTTGAATTTTCAGCACAAGCTTGAACCTTACTGGGCGTGGGCTCTGCCAAAGAGAGACGATTGTACAAAAGGATAATAGGGGAAAAGAAAAAAAAAGAAAAGTGGGAAAGGGAGAGACACTGGAATAAATCCTGGCTCACTGAGGTCAACAGGAAAATTCTCATTGCGCAAGTAAACTGACGTTCTAATGTATGAAATCAGGGCTTCTTGTGCCAGAACTCTGACGCTCCCACTCAGGAACAAGCCCTTTTGTGCAAGAGCTCTTCCAGAAGAGGCCAGTGTAGACAGGCAACATGAATTTCTTGCGCAAGAAAGCCCTATGGTTACAATGGCCATCAGAGCTTTCTTGCGCAAGACAGCGTCTATACTGGCATGGATGCTCTTGCGCAAAAGCACATGCCAGTGTAGATGCTCTCCTCTGGAAAAGTTTTTGCAGAAGAACTCTTCCGCAAAAGAGTTTTTGTGTGAGAATGCACCAGTGTAGACATAGGCCCAGGGTATTAAAACTGGTTGGAAAATAGGGACTATTTCCTGAAGAATTCTGAAATATCAAAGGTGTTCCCCATCTCCCAGCATTCAAAAGACCCATTTTCCATTGTTGCTCATTTTTCTGTGATATTTTTTTAACCAAAGTTGTTTTCAGTCGCGTGAGCCACATTTTGTGGTTCTCAAAAGTTAAGCGTTCAGCAAGAAAACACAATATATATCAAAAACGCTGTTAATGCTTTTCCTACAAAGAATATCGTGGAGAAGTTGGGGAAGAGGTGAATGGGGGAAGGTCTGTACGGTCCACAACGTTTGGCGCAAAGATTGTGCTTTGTTTGCAAAGCCATTTTTCTAGTAGAAAAGCTTGTGCAACCAAAAAAAAAAAAAAAGTTTTGACAGCTCCACAGAATATATATTGTCTGCAGCATCAACCACACGATGCTAATGTGAGCTCAGGAATGAGTAGGAGTAGGAGCTACTTCAAGAAACAATGTGACCTGACTCTTTCGTATGTGTATGGGGCTTAAATACTGCCCTGATGACTACTGCAGAAATGGAGAAAGACAGACACGGGATTGTAGGCCTGCTCTGGATCCATGCATCATTCAGAAATGTAGAGAACCAATCAGGCTCCTTGTATTCAAGGACCTGCTTTCTGTGTGGCTGAGCTGCAAAATTCTGCTTTGCAGAGCTGTCTGTTCTCTAGTGCTCTGAAATAAATTACTACATGTAAACAATTAGCAATAAACCAGGTCCTCCACGGAACAGACCCTTCGCCACCTTGATCTACCCTGCATTAATTTTTTCATGGTCAGCAGCCTACCGTGTGATTCCCCCCTCCAGAGGTGGATTTAAGACCTTTTCCTACGGGGACAATATTAAGAGCTGGCATAACTCCAGCATGGACACTGTCCGTGACACAATCCTTCCCCAAAAGATGAATAGCCGGCCAGTTTTCCTAATCCAGCCACTTTGGAAAAATTGTTTGTTCTCATCCTGTTTGAAACGGCTTCAAAGTGACTCCAGTCTAGACTGTGCCAAGATAAATTACAAAGCCAAAGAGCTGATGTAAACCACAGGGCGAGCAAATCATTTGCTTTAATGGAATTAAAACAAGATATAATAATGTATGTAGGTATGTAGATGGGCATGCACGCTCCCGGCTAGCGGGAAGGTCGAGAGAGAAGAAGGAAAAAACTCTCCGCTGGGAAACTTTTGTTTTGCTCGTTCCCTGATGGCTCAGATTTCTCCAGTGGAACCAAGTCTTCCTCAGTTGGAGACACATTGTCCCTTTGAGATGGCTGGGGTGGGACCCAGTAGATCCTTTCCCCACCCACAACTTCAGCCAGCCAATTAGATTGCAGCAGGAAGGCTAGGCTGCATGGCAACAGGTATAAAAGGGGTAGGGCTATAAGAAAACTAACAGAAGTGCTCTGGGCTTGGTGTGAACACGGGGTGATACATAATTCTTTGTCACAATCCTGGCTGCTAAAAATAAGGGAGTGGCATTATTCAGAGAAGTAGATTATGGGGCAGTAACAAAGCCCAAGAACCAGTAACAGAGGAGGTGAGAGAGAAATTGTGTCCCCTGTGCACAAATCAATGTACAGCGAGGCCAGACAGAGCCAGGCATCTAATAGATCTGACCCTAGGGCATGATTTTCAGCCCACATAATCCAGTGTGACTTTTAGGCTTTGTACAGACACAAAGATACAATCTGTGCCACCGTAACTCATCTATTTGGTAACAGGGGTCCGGGTTTCTAGTTTGGTTCTCAAGCTTGAAGCTTCAGACCGATGTCGATCTAAACACTCTGGCTACGTCTACACTGGCATGATGTTCCGGAAATGCTTTTAACGGAAAAGTTTTCCGCATTTTTGGAAAAATCGTGTCTAGATTGGCAGGATGCTTTTCCACAAAAGCACTTTTTGCAGAAAAGTGTCCATGGCCAATCTAGACGCGGTTTTCCGCAAAAAAAGCCCCGATCACCATTTTTGCTATCGGGGCTTTTTTGCGGAAAACAGTACTATGCTGTCTACACTGGCCTTTTTGCACAAAAGTCTTTTGGAAAAAGACATGAGATCGTCAGTGCTTTTCCAGAAATTCAAACGGCCAGTGTAGACAGCTGGCAAGTTTTTCCTCAAAATCACATGATTTTGCGGAAAAACTTGCCAGTCTAGACACAGCCTCTCTCTAAAGGCATAGTCTGGGTTTAAAAAAGAAGAGCATAAAAAGAATGAAGTTACTTTTTCCATTCTTCATCCGATCTTTCTGTTTATGCCGCACCAGCTGACGGAGACACTATTGCGCACCCGAAGGACTGCACAAACTCAGAAATTGAGGTCTGCGAGCAGGAGATGTGGCAGAAGTGGTCACGAGTGTGTCGTCTGGATTCTGAAACACACACAGGTCAGCCGTTACATGTCAATAGCATCGTCAACCGATTTTGCTAGACAAGCTGGTGGAATGGTGGAAAATATTGGATGTTCGCGCCTTTCTTTTTAATGTTTCAAATGACAAGTGTGGCCACCTTTCCTCACATGGGTTGTCACCTTGCTCCACAAGGGGGCTCACTGATTTTATTGGGACTACTCAAGCATTAAGGTACTATAGGTTGAACCTCTGTAGTCCAGAACTCTCTGGTCCAGCAGCATCTGAGGCCTGGCATGATATTAGTTAGCCAAATGGCCACTTATCATGGTGTGGCCAAGTTTCCCGCAGTCCCAGAAAGCTTGTTTTCAGCCACCAGTCCTGGCTCTCTATGCTCTGTGATGTTATTTAGCTCTAATTTACCCCCAGATGTCTTCTCAGAGCCCAAGAAGCAGTGGAAGTGTGGGTAGTGCTGCTAGACAATATTGACCTCCCGTCATCCAGCAAATTCTCTGGTTCAGCACCAATCAGGTCTCGAGGGTGCCAGCCTAGAGAGGTGCGACCTGTGCTCAGTGCAAAGATGATATTACACTCTGGGTCTTACTATGCAGTTAGAATAAGGGTTCTATTTAACTTGACAGAGCGTTTCATGGGAGTAGTTCTTCCTCGGAGTACTATTTCATGGGAGTAGCATGTATGACTCTAAGTGTCCACAAAAGAGTTTTCGAAACTAGGTTTTGGGGAAGATCTCACTCTGTTAAGAGGATTGCACATGTAAAGTAAACGGGCATTATTATTTCTAACCAACCATTCAGGGGTAATTCTCACATGAGGTTTGATGGTCTCAAAGCATCTGTTCTTATCGGTTTACTGTCTTAAGGTGCTATACTCAGGCAGGCCAAAACTCCATCTAATCTAGGCACCTTCCACTGGTCCCCCAAGTGTAGAAGGCAGGAAAAATAGAAACTGAGATGTCAGCTGGAAATTAGAGTGAATTTTCATTCCAACCTGAAGGCACAATCGGCCGGTGCCCTGAAGCATGAGGAGAGAAAATAACCTGTCATTTTCTACCCTCCATAGTGTAACTGTGGCTGCTGTTCTTAGTCAGCTCTGCTTAATCACTGCATCTGAAGTATTTGCCTCCGAACCATTTTCAATCTCTCTTTTTTTCTCTTCTGTGGAAAACAAGCTGAAATCCGTTCAGAGAGCTTTCTGCTTAAAATACAGGGTTCCTGTTGTCCTTGCTGGGTTTGTTTTTCAGCAAGCCACAGCTGAATCAAGAGCTGTTGGAGAGAAGCGAATGGCTTGTTTTCCCTCCCCTCTCCTCCCCCCGGTAGAACATTGTACAGCTTTAGCTGTTGGTATAGGTCCAGTCGTAAAACCCACCTCATGTGGATGTAGTTCCATCAGTGTCAAGGTGTTTTATACCACAGTAGCTATTCCTATGTGGGACTACTACCAGATGTACCTGGTGTTGCTCGGATCTTGAAGTGAAATAATGAGATTTGGGGTTTGTTTGGAAAATAAAAGGAAAACGTACGTGCTTTCTGTAAATGATTGCATTTTTCAAAAATGAAGGAAAAAAAGAAGTTTGTATTGATAAAAGGAGGGAAGTGATTCAAACATTAGCTAGAGCGTGTTGGCCAACAATAGTAATAGGTTGGATCAAGGTGTGCAGGGGACCTGTCACCTCAGCCAGGATGCAGTACAGCTTTGGGGCTCCATCAGGTGCAATCGGCGGGAGCCGGGGGGCACACAGAATGCAGCCTGGGTAGGGTCTGCTCCTTTGGGCTGCCAGGGCCCGGAGCTGGGCAAAGGTCATTTGCCTCTCACCTGTGCAGATACAATTTGGAAAACAGTGAGCAGAAACAAACAGTGGGAGAAAAAAAACCCCAATCCTCCTGCCTCCCCCTAGGGCTGCCAGATGATTTAACAAAAAAAAATACCGAACCCTACCCCCCCCAAAATGGGAAAAAATTCTGTTGAGGGGAAAAAAAAAGCCCAGCAAAAGTTGTTGACCAAAAAAAAAAAAAAGGACAGACCAGGGCCGAAATACAGTGGTGGCCCTTTAATTCCTGGCCTGCTCCATGCTCCCTCCATGCCAGCCAGCCCAAGCTGAGCTGCGTGTCCCAACAGCCCTTCTATTGGATGTCCAAGCTGGGAAAACCAGAAAATTTTCCGAATTTTTTTTACTGAATAGAAGGCGCAAATACCAGGCCGTCTGATTCAATCCTGGACACCTGGCAACCCTACCTTCTCCCCCAAATAAACAGCACAGCGGAGGTTGCTAATTGCAGCCTGGACACGCCAGCGCTTGTGCAGCGTGTCTTGGGTTTCACGGGAAGATAATGTCATGCTTGGAACGAGGGCCTGACGAGGTTGCAAGGAGGAAGCGGGGACACCTGCAAACAGAGCGGTGGTGAGAAGCCTCGTCCAGAGCTTGAGAGCGCGTCACGGTTCATGGCGTGCAAATGAAAGCCACTGCGAATGTAACCCTTAGGCCTGGTCTGCATTTGGCAGTTTTACTAATATTTGCCAGTCAGGGAGGTGATGTTCCAGTTATGCTGGTTCACCTCCCTAGTGTGGACACAGTTATGCCAGTGAAAAGGGGGCCTTGTGCATCCGTCTGCCTGTGTGTGGGTCCGTTTGTTCAAAATGGTAAGAGCCAGGGCCACTAACTTTGGCAGGCAGCTTCCTCTTACCCTAACTCAAAGCAAGGCCGGGGTTTGGTTGTGCCAGGACAATGGGATGTGCCTGGAATGGGAATGTTTTCCAGATCTTGGAAAGGGAGGGGGCAGAGAAGGGAGACTCTATACTTCACAGTGACCACTGGGGGCAGCTGCACCAGCAGGAGTCTGGCCAGCTGGGGATGGGGCTCTGCATGTCACTGGCCACTGGAACAGGTAAGCATCCCCTATGCCCCAGATAGTGCTGGAGGGAGGGGAGCCCCCCACTTTTTGTCCCCCTCACCTACTGTCTCACCCATCACAGACTCCCCCAGAACCACTCCACGGGCTGGGAAGCACAGCCTGGCCTCCACCCAGAGGCTGCAGGCCAGGGGAGCCCTGCCCTCCTGAACCAGCTGGAGGGCCAGGGAGACAGCTGGAGGCTGGGGACGGCCCATGGAGCTCTGGTCCTCTGGGAGGAGCTGCCCTGCAGCAGCACCACCCTGCCCGTCCCAGGTGGCCCCTGTAAGCTCCCCTACCCAGCCCCCTGCCCTCACTCCTGCACTCCCACGCAGGAGGGGTCTGGGAAGGGGTATGGGTGCAGGAGAGGATTCTGACGGGGGCTGTAGGAAAGGGTGCAGGGTCTGGCAGGGAGCTGTGACCTGGCGCAGGGGGAGCAGAAGGTTTGGGTGGTGACCGGGGACAGAGAGTTGGGATGCGGGAGGGGGCGGGGTGCCAGAGGCAGGCTCTGGCTCAGAGGCACTGA